TCTCACACCCCTTTTCAGTGGGAGGATTTGCTGTTTATCTTCAAAGCAGCCTGCGTGGATGGATGGCCTTTTTCTTTCCTCCTTTTATCTCAGCAGTCCTCAAACAGAAATTGCACGAGAATTTCTGTTCAGAGTTGTATACACAAATCATACCCTTATGATACACTTGCAGGATTTTCAAAGATAATTTTGACTATAGGGATTGTGCTTTCAGAGGCCAGCTTTGGTAACAAACTTCATCACCCTATACAACATGGCCCCACTATAGTGTGGGAGAGGATGTCACGTTAAAAGGCATGGAAAGGGACATTAGTAGATTCACAGTTACTACTTTTAGGTCCCCAGAGCTTCCATCCATAAAACCAAAGTGACGTAAGATGCCTCCTAAGGTTGAAAATGGTGATTCCATAGAGTTGAATTTTGTGGTTATTCCACTGCCACCCCACTGGATACCCACTGGACCTCTCCATTGACACAACGTACAATCAGAAACCCAGACTCCAGGTGGCATGCTCTCTCTTGTTCATGCTCAGAGAAGATGTGGGGGCTGGTCTTTGATTGCGCTTTCATCTGAGACTAAGCTTCAGGAAACTTAAGGTAAAGAAACATATGTTTGCTAAATTTTTCATTCAACAAACACTTATTGAAGATCTGCTACAGTGCTAGCCCCGGATGCAAATGTGGAGGAGACGATCTACCAGCTTGCTAAACAAGGTCTTTATTAGTTGAGATCAGTGCTACAGAGGAAAGGCCACCTCAAACGAATTCATTCCCAATTCATTCCCAATACCACAATTTCACAGTAAACGGTATTAAGGACTTTGAGAATTTATCTGGAAAAAAATGACGAAACCAAAATTTGTGAAAATAAGCTAATCAGCCTACTAAGATAAAATAAAAATAAACCTCCATTTTGAAGGTTATAATGGCAAACTATGAGCTAATTGTTAAAATCAACAAAACTTGAAGTATTGATTAGGATGTACATTTTTACATAAATTGTAGGGTAGAACCAATGGACTATTTACCTTGCATTTACTTCAATTGCAAGTTCATCATGAGGAATTCCCCCACCCCGAAAAAATATTATAGAGCTTTATCAATTTTTCCAAAGACTTCTCTTAAGTCTCTGATAGTCAAGTTGCTCTCTTGGAGTTATTATCTTTGTCACTTTCCTCTTGTTCATTTGTCACCTAGTCTGATTCTGCCAATGAGTGTGAATCAGCAGGCTTCCGATGGTCATTTCTTTCAACTCCACAAAACGCAACAGCTTGAGCACAATCTGCAATTTCATTTAGCAATCAATTTACATGATATTGCGCAAATGAATCTGAAGGGCATGGATGGATGCGATGGTAGGCAGAGAGGGAGAGAATTGAATTGGGTCTAAATTTACCAGCAGTCAGTCTATTAGGGAAGATTTTCATGTTCCCAGCTAACAGGCCAACCTTATGACTGGAATGTTCCATAAGGAACATCTGCATTATAAGGTAGATGCCTGTTTTCCCTCGGACAGTCAATGACTTGATACCTAAGAACTTCCTTTTTGCCAATCCCTTCAATGAGACAGGCCTAGTCTATGAGATCAAATGCACCCTTCAGCCCTGATCCTGAAGCGAGTGCAAAGAGGTTTTCTTTAAAACAGCAGAGCTTCTGTCAGTTCTTAGTCAACACTCAGCCGGGGTGTCTGGGAAATACCCCTTAGTTAATATCTAGAAAGAAATTTCAAGTTTCCTGCACTCACTAGCTGGAAACTTGGATGGGATGGACTGCTAGAGACCGGATTCAGGAAAAAAGACTCAGTTGCCAGGGGAGCCTCGTAGACTCCAATCAATGTACAATCTTATAAATTAGGTCTTTATCCTTCATAACTCTTCTGGCCTTCTGCTTTCAGATGACTTCACTGCCAAGCCATCTGTTAATTCAAATGATTAGTAACAAGCTTTTGGAATAGTTTAGGAGAGAGGGAAATTAAACATCTTTAAAAAAAACTTTTTTTTAATCCTCTTTCCTTCATCCTTCTAAACTGTTGATAGGAACTGTCTCCAAAATATAAAGAAGACAAGAAAATCAGCTATCACATCTTATATCAGTCCCTGGACACAAGTATTCTTGACTTCATGTTTCTGAATGTTTTACCTATTCTAGTTGGCCCATAAAGTTTAGGATCTAAGGTGTTTCTTTACCTTTAAATTGAAAAATCCCACCCACCCCCATCTACACAAAGGTCATTCTCAATTTCTTTGTTGGATTCTACCAAGTTTCCCCAAGTTACAGCCCCTTGGGTCACCCAAAACAGACCACCCCATCACTATCCCACCATGGAAAACAGGTAATCTTTCCTCAGAAAGAAAAAAACACAGGCACACTCACAAGCACAACCATGCACATGCACACACGCACACATGCACGCACAGGCAGGATCAGCTCCTTCACAGAGGACCCAGCTCTGATTTCTCCATCCAGGACCTGCCAAGTCAAAGGAGACTCGAGAAAGTTGTTTATAAGTGGTAGATGGCCAGGCTCAGCTCTGTGTTCCTTTGAAGTGACAGTGCTTTGTCTTCAAACACCCAGTGCCCTCAATGTGCCTGTCACTCCACTGTGAAATATTGGAGTTGGAAAGTGCTGCTAATAAGACCCCTATGCCCCTTTGATTTCCAGTGGTATTTATTTTAAAGCATTCTTCCACCCTCCGACTCCATGGTGTCCATCATGACCTGTCAACCCCCGCTTGCTGGTTTGCCCTCCCAGCCTTCCCAGTTCCCTCTCTGACACTTCAATAAGGAACAGGCAGTGATTGATATTCCCTGGGCTAGGGCTTCTACCATGGCCTGCAGCTCAGCGCTGCCCTGCAGTGGACACCCTCCACATCCCTCATAATTGCTGGAGAGGAGGGCCTTTGAAAATGGGCACCAGAGACCTAAGCCCCTGGTTCAACTTGCTGCTCAAATAACAAACATGAAAGCACAGACATTTGTCACCATTCCAGGCTGTTGCTGGGGCCTTGCTACCTATGCAAGGGGATGGGGTGGTGGAGCTGTGTTCCCAGCAGGCATCTGAGCTATGGAAAGCCACTTGTTACTTAGATCTATATTCAAGGTTTGTTTCTGATATTTTTTTTCTGCTTGGATTTGGTTTTATTCACCATTCACTGGTATCCCCAGTTTGCTCATTTAGGTGTGAAGAAAGCAATGAAATACTGATATTAAAAGAGGATGTGTATAGAAGTGGGATTTCCCACACATGGAGGGAGCCCAGGGTCTCTGGGACTCCTCCATTAGTCCATGGGGAGGACATAGAGAAATGTATCCCTGTGGAGGAGGACAGAAGAGGTGCAGATGAGGCAGGGGCACCCACTTCCATGGTCCCCTGTGGAGGAAGAGAGAGGAGCAGGTGTCCCTGCTGCAGCTGACACAGCCCCCTACTCAGAGCCAGCACGTGAGCTGGACAAGCCAGACCGCAGCTGGATTTCAATTCCAACAAACGTTGTCTACATACATGGCTGCCCCACCCAGCCCCACCCAGCTGGCCACTGGGCCTTCTTCCTGAAGGGAAGTCAGTGGACCCCATAGCTATCAGCATCGAGGCTACCTGTGGTGACTTGAACAACTGTTTCCCCAAGTGTGCAGCATGTCCTGCTGGCAGTGGCTGGGGTGATTCTGCTTTTATTATATTAGGGTTATAATAGAACATTCCTGCAAAAATGATTTACAAACAATGAGAGCCCAGACGATGTGCATTCTTGTGCCCTCCATGGATGGCAGTGGTATCAAGCATAGCCTAACAGGCACTTTTGCTGGATACAGAGGAGGGAGACGGAGGTGAAGATGAGAGCCACAGATGAGGAAGAAAGCTCAGAGCCAGTTCCCTGATGGAATTTCCACCTACCTACCCCCCTGCATCCCAGTATCTCCCACATGGGGCTTGACCCTTGACCTTCCTTAACAAAAACCACCTTTCTTCAACAACTGGCCACCCAACTGTAAGATGAATTCCTGCCTGAATTTAAATTCTCTCTGGGGAACAAGACTAGTCCTTGTCCTTGCCCACCCTGCAGGGCTTTGGGGGGTGGGGAGCAGGGGTGTGGGGAGAGCACGCAAGCGCCATCTGCCTGTAGGGGGCACTGGAGCTACACAAAGGTGGCGGGGGAATTGCCCCAACAAAGGAGGCCCCGGGGCCAAAGACCTCAGGTTGAGACAGAGCCCAGGGTTAGCCCTTGAGCCAAACAGAAAACAATGAGCCACAGAAGGATGGTAATTCAGGCGCTGCTGGCCAGATGGAACCCAGAAGCCTTTCCCACAGGGTCTTCATTTTTCCCAATCAACACTCGGCAAGCAAGGCTAAGGCTGGGCTCATTACTGCTGGGGAGAGGGGAGAAAGGAAGAGGAAATTGAAGTCCAGAGAAATTGCGCCATTTGCCCCATTGCCCGGTAATTGCAGCTGAATATAGCCATTTTTCCAGGAAGCAGCCCCCTCAGTTCACCCTTATTTATTTCTGAGCATGGTGAAGAGTGTGCCTCTTACTGCTTCACATGTAAGCAATGCACCCTGTAGCTTCACGTAACTACTTATCTTTCTACTTCACATGGGCTCTCAAGCCCATCCACAGACCCACTTTAGCTTTTATAATAGCCCTGCAGGAAGAACCAAGTGAGCTTTCTTTTGGTGAAAGTGGAGGCACTAAGAGCTGTGATTCATGTTCTCCTGGCTCCCAGAAGGAACCTGCACCTGGTTCAGAGCTTGGTACACGTGGCTAGCACTCAAGGATGCAGGTTACTTCTCAATATTGAATTCTCCGTCTTTCACCACATGCCCTCCCCCCTAGTTTAGGGTCACTTTGATTGTCTCATAGACACCATGCCTCTGTTACTCTCCCTTTTGTGCCTGACCCCTGCGGGCACATGGGGCTGACTCCTGCCCAGCCCACATTCCTAGTGTCTGTGCCTCAGGCGGGTGCCTTCAAGTGCCCAGTCTGGATTCACCTCCAAAGAGAACATTACCTGCTGTTTCTGAAGAAGCCTGCCCAAGGGTCCTGCATGGTTTCAGTCCCTCGAGTGGGGAATGGTAGTAGCTTCTTCTTCGCACCCATGTTGCTTTGCGAAGTCTACTGGCTCTCAGCTGAACACAGCTCTGCAGGAAATTCCCTTTGTACCTGTAGAAGAGAGAAGCATACTTGCAGTAACCACCCCGGAGAGCACATGCCTGGAAAAAATCTGAAAAATCCCTGTGGGGTGCCTAGGCAAACACCCAGCTCAACATCTAAGTAGCTGATCAGCTCTGAGCAACTCCCAATCCCTCCATCCCTCATCCCCCACCTCCCTAGGATAATGCACCTAGCTTCAGAGGTGTATTATTTAGTTGTTGTAGGAACTAAATGAGGTGGTCACAAAATGCTTCCCAAGATGCTTTGTCACAGCAAGTGCTTAGTCAAGGATAGTTGCTGCAATGAGATCTTAAGCTTCATGGTCTTGACAACTCGCTCATCAGAATGTCCAACAGATCATTCTTCAGTGATGGAAATGTTCTGTCATCTGCATTGACAAATACAGTAGCCATTAACCCCATGTGGCTATTGTGCATTTGAAATGTACTTAGTGTGTCTGAGAAACTGAGTTTTAAATTGTATTTCATTTTAATGAATTTAAATAGCCACATGTGGCTAGTGACCACCATATTGGACAGCATTCTTCATAGACCTTCCATCTGAAGGAACCTGACCAGGTCATCTGATTTGTTTGTCTTCAAAGCAAAGTATTCACATCTTGGAGGGAGGGCATGATGAAGGTAGAGAAAGAAAAACACTAGAGCTTCTATTTATATTTATTTTCATCTAGTCTGTCTTATTTCTATTGTTTCATGTCCTTTGTAATGTATATAATACATTCATAGAGTAAAACGTGTCTAATATGTACATGAACAAATAGAATTTAATAAGAGTGCAGGCTGTAAATTATTTTACTGACAGGAATGTGCAACCACAGACCATCAACCTAGTCTGGCATCCCCATTATACAGGCAAGAGAAGGAGGTGAAGAGCCAGGCCTGCAACATGCCTTCAGCTCTTTCAGAAGATCTTTGCACTGCTTCTAACTGCCTGGTCAAGCCACAGGTAATCCCTTCCCTTTACAAGCCTCAGTTTACAATATTTCTACTCTACAGTGTTCCTCAGAACTGGCTATTTTCCTTTCCCATTTGTCTGAGCTGCTGCCAAGATCCAGCTGCAGTCCCCTAATCACCAGGGCTGCTCACAGAATTTTAAATAAGATCTGCAGAATGCAGTATCCTCTTGGGCGCTAGCTTTTCCTGGCAGCAACAATGAGAAAGTGACATTTTGTTCATCTTTTCTGGCCTCTGTGTTTGGGAGATGCTCCCCTCATCTGGGCAGGATTGTCTCCCCTGCTTGGGGCAGGAGGTATCATTTCCGCAGGGGGCGGGGGCTGGTTTGTTCTTTGCAGCAGTTGTCAAGACCACAGGTTCCTGAAAGAGCTATCTGAGCCAGGCTGGGGAGCGACAGGCTGCTGTTTCCATCATCACAAACCCCTGAATCAGTTAGGACCCCTGCGGGGCCTGGGAGGAGAGAGATTTCAAAGTGCAGGGACAAAAGGAGGAAGGGAGGGTTGGCAGGGGGAGAGAATTCTTCTTCCACCTGCTGCCGGGTCACCTTTGCCTGAGAGTCAGGGGCTGGCTGCCACGAAGTTGCGGGTGTTAGGAACAGCACAGTCTGAACTGCAGGGACGTTTTACTTTTAGAAAATGAGCAAGCAGGGGTCTTTCTACTCAAGCAAAATAACGAGGAGAGAGCTAGGAGAAGCCCAGCCTCTGAATTCACACTTCATCAAGGTGGAATTCCAAACTTTGCCTTCGAGAAGGGCCCAAGCAGACTTTGGCAATGTCTTCAAAGCTCTGTTTAGTTTTTGTCATGGGCAGGGTATGTTTCTCTCTCCCCTGGTTCTCCCAGAATGTTCTATGTACACCCCCTCCTGGAGAAGCCACATCCTGGCTTAGGAAGGTTTTGCAAGCTCATCTCCATTGTCAAGCATGCAAGGCCCCTGAAGGTGTGGCTGGTGCTCTTGGCACCCTATCCAGGGTGCTTTTGCCAGGCTGTGAGAGTGACATGCTCCTTACCCCACTGCCACCCTCATCAGGCTCTCTCAGGGAGGGACAGGAGACCCAAGGACAGGGTCTTGCAGGTGTACACAGCCCACTCCGCACACATTCCTTCTGGAGCAAAACTATGAGATCTGATGTGCTATTTCCCTCACTTTCCTCTTTTGACCCCACAGGGAAGAACAAAGCAAAGAGCAGTGTGGTGGAGGTGTGGATGGCGAAGCCTCTGTGTCCTGCTAAGCAGAACTTGGGACCGCTGTCAAAGCTCTGGGGCTGTGGCCAAAGTGACAAAGAGTCTCAGCCACGTGTGGAGGGGGCCACACACAGCAGAGGCCACGTGGACTCAGGGCCACATCTGTAGGTCTTTGTCTTTACCTCACTGAAGAGATTGTGTTCTCATTACTGAGAGCGCTATCTCACTGAATAGGTAAATTGTGTGATGACTAAAGTGAATAGACACATGGCTTCGACAGATAAGCATCCGCTCCATAAGGAAAAGCACTATCTACTAATAGAACTGCATTCTCAGAGCCCAGGATTTTTTTCTTCTCTGCTCTACCCTTCAGTGAGCATACATTTTAGGGTTTTACAGAGTGCCCTTCTCCCATTCAAGCTGCAATCTCCTCCTTGCTCATTTCCATTCACTTGGGGCTTCACAATTCATTGTTCCATTTGTTGGAAGCTTCCTAGAACAAGTCTGAGTGCTTCATGCTTCACACAGCACGGTACACAGTTACAAATGAATCAATAAAATCCAATTTCCATGGTCCCGCACTGGCTTTGGGCAAGGCAGAGAGGTATTTTGTGAGCGCTCCAGATCTCTATGCCTCTAGTTAATGTCAGGGCAATTAGGCTTCTGGGTGTGAATTTTCTGTGTTTTTCCATTTCCACTCTGAAAGTGGGTCCTGCATTTTCTAATCCCTCTCTTTTAACTCATGTAGTTTTATTAATGAAAACAGCCATTTTCATTACAGTGTGGTACTTGTAGTTGGCAAAAAACAAAGAGATGAATGAAAGTAGAATGAAAGTCCCTGAAAAAAACTTCAAGTATAAACCGGAAGCTAAAATTTAACATGTAAGTGAGCAAAAGTGGATTAATGCAGGGGTCTGCTTGATTTTTATGCAAAGGTCCAGCTAATAAATATTTTAGACTTCCTATGCCACAGACGATCTTTGCTATATATTCTTCTTCTATTTTTATATGGATAAGCTTTTAAAAATATAAAAACCAAGCCAGGCATAGTGGTGCATGCCTCTACTCCCAGCTACTCCAGAGGCTGAGGCAGGAAGACCACTGAGGCCAGGAGTGTGAGGCTGGAGTGGGCTATGATCACACCCGTGAATAGCCACTGCCCTGCAGCCTGGGCACATAGTGAGACCCTGCCAATCAAATATATGCATGTACGTATGTACGTATGTATAAATGATGCCTAGTTAATGGTCAAAATAGGTTAAAAAACATATTTAACCCATGCTCCATAGTTGTCTTTATAAACAAAAATAAAAATAAATCCTTCTATATGAATATATGAATTCATATAAGAAGAAAACATAAGAGAATATATCTGCATGTTTGTGAAAGTAGGAAATTGAGAGTAAAGAAAGATTTCTTAGATGTACCAAATGTAATAACAATAAAGGAAAACGCAGCCCCATTTGACTACATCAAAATATACAAATTCTTAATGAAAAAAGAATCATTATCAAGGTTAAAAAATAAGAACTCCATTTCCAACAGCACGATGCACTCAATACCCTGACTGATTACCACCAAACGTATCCTTATACTGAAAACAATTAAAAATGCAGCATAAAATGTAACAAAACATTAAAATTTATATTTAAATTTATTTATGTTCGGATTAAAATTAAGAAATAGTTCAAAAGCAAAAACCAAGTGAGAGCTGTACTCTGGAAAAGTAAGATTGCTTTCACTTTGAGGCATCTGCCAAACCAGGTGAGGCTGACCTTCCATTTTCATCCTTTGATGCAGTTCAGGGTACAGAACTTAAAGGCCAGAATGTTCTTCAGTGAGAGGCAAGTGAAAGACCCAACCTCCTTTCCTGCAGAAAGCTGAGACCTCTGAAAGATATACTGTCAACATGTGGGTGAATTAGAAATAAATACTCCCTACTCCAACCACCTGCCTAGGGAACATAACAACAAACAAACAGGCACCCAGCAGAAGCAAAACAAATATTTACTGGAGGAATCCATCTTCAACCCAAGTCTCAAAGTTCCAAAAATATCAACTCACAGTCAAGAATTTTAACACAAGGAAATAAGTTAACATAAGTGAGAGCTAATATATAAAACAGGTGCACCAAGACTTCGTATGTTGTCACTGACAGATACAAAACATTAGATGTATTTTTTTAAATAAAAAGATTGAAAGTAAGAGTCAAGTGCAAGAGACTATAAAAGTAATCAAGCAAATTAGAAAAATAATTAAATAAACTTTTTGGAAATAAATCATAATACACATTAACAATTAAATTTAACATTTAGTGGACCAATAAAAGTAGGGGAAATCAATTAAGAGGCATTGCAATAGGCCAGGGACTTCTGACCAAGACTTTGGAACATTAACCAGATTTACCATCCCAAGTAAAAGAACTGAATAAAGATACGAAACAATAGTGTTCAGAGCATTGGACATTGAGCAATAAAGGCAGTGATCCTGAGAGAAGAGAAACAGATGAGGTAAGCCTGATGACACCTCAACTTATTGATGGAGAAATTTTCTAGGTCTGGTACCATTTGCTGAAAAGACTCTACTTTTTCCACCAAACTTCCTTTGAGCCTGTATGAAAAATCAATTGACCACAGCATGGTCTATTTCTGTTTTCGCTATTTTGCTCCATTGATCTATTTATCTATTTTGATGCAAATACCACACTCTTCGAATACTTTAGCTTTATATTAAGTCTTAGAGTCAAGCAGCATAATCAAGTCAGTGTGGTGGTTGCATTGAAATAGACAAATAGGTCAACAAATGATGCTGAAACAACCAGATATCTACATGCAAAAATAAGAACTTTGATCC